GAGATGGTAGTAATCTTCTAAGAATCCTTAGATGCTAGAAAAGTCCCAAAGGGTTGGAAAACTTCCAATGTAACACTCTTATTCAAAAAGAGAGGGAGACAAAAAAATGGTAATGAAAGGTCAGTTAGATTAACAACTGACGTTGGGAAAATGTTGGAGTCTATGTAATAGCACAGCATTTAAAAATACATAACAAAATTAAGTAGAGTTTGCATGGCGTTATGTCGTGGAAATTGTGCCTGACAAATTTATTACTGTTCTTTGGGGAAGTAACAGATAAAGATAGATAAAGATGAACTAATGGATGTAATATATTTGGATTTTTAAAAGGCATTCAATAAGGTGCTGCACATAAGACTATTGAAGAAGATGCAACAGAAGATAGACAGTTGGGATAAAAAGGGCACTTTAAAGATGATCTGCAACTAGTACAATGCTACAGGGGGCTCAGTGCTGGGGCCACAATTATTTACAATATGCATGTATTATTGACCTGGATGATGGAAGTGAATGTACTTTTGCCAAATTTGTGGATGACACAAAAATTAGGTGGGAAGGCAAGTAATGAGGATGACACAAGGAGTCTGCAGAAGGAATAGACAGGCTAAGTGAGTGGTCAAAAACTTGGCAGATGGAATATATTGGCTGTGAATTGGGAGTGCCACCAAGTTTAGCCTCATTGCACAATGATTTTTACTGTAAGTGCTTCTGTGCTTTCTAATTTGTAGCTTAGAATCATAGACTAATATGTATGAAGCTTATGGTGTAGAGAGTTAATGTCAGTTTGACAAGAAAAAAGACTTCAGGGCCAAAGTCTTAATAGTAATGGTCGTTTTTCAATCTGGGGGTGTTCCCCAAGGTCAGTACTGGCACTACTGTTACACACACATTTTGATATTGGAATACGAAGATGAATTTCAATTTTTGCTGACCATATTAAACGTGGAGATGTGGCAAACATTAAGAAAGATGTAAATCGACTGCAATATGAATTAGGCTAGCAGAATAAACAGACAAGTGGCCGGTTGAATGTTATACAGAGAAATTTGAGGTTTAGCAGAAAGTATAGGAATAGGCAAGGTAGATTTAATGGCATAGTTCTCAGGAATATGTAGGGACAGAGGACCTGAGAGTTGGTGTGCACAGATCTTTGAATATGGCAAGACAATTTGAGAAAGCAAATAAGAATCAGAATTTTGGGATTCATAAGTAGAAATATTGACTATGACGCACAAAGGACACGTTCTAAAGACATTACTCACTCTTTCTTATCCCTGATGGTCTGACCACACTCTCCAACCTGTTTTTGACATGAGCAGCAAAACAAGTTCACTTAACCCATAATTATTTAATTTTACACATGTTGGGCAGGCTGCTAAATTCTGCGCCTACCCTTCCTCTGTATTTTGGATGTGAATTTGGGTCTGTGTTGGTAGGTAGTGGGTTAGCCATCCAGTCACTTATTTCCCCGCCACCAAAAACACAGCTAGTGCAGGAATGTAATATCCAGTCCATTGTTTCTATGGAGGACTCTATCTCCATCCCACAGAGACATTATGTAGCTACAAAGTGATGGAAATTAATTTAAGCCACCTTTGATTCCAGGCAATTGAAATATTCTTTTTTGAGTGGAAACTGTCTTTTAAAAATATAGAAACAACTGATGAAATTACAATTTAATATTTGATATTGTTACTGTACTTGAAAGTAAGGACAACGGCCTGCCCTGGGATGTGAATGGGTTTCATTCTAAGTTTGTTCACAAGTTGATTTGTACTTGAGTCGGAACACAAAACAGGACAATATAAAGCAGCCATTCGTAGTACAGAAAATGTTTAAATAAAAACCGAAAGAATTGCAGATGCTGTAAATCAGAAACAAAAATCAAAATTGCTGGAAAAACTCAACAGATCTGGCAGCATCTGTGGAGAGAAGTCAGAGTTAACATTTCAGGTCGAGTGACCCTTTCTATGTTTGTATGTTGGATATTTAAAATTATATCACTATATGGGATTGTATTCCTAGGTATAAGTGTTCATAAGTCAGACTCCCTGTATTGAATTTTAACTTTCATCTTCTGATTGTTATACCTAAGACTTTTTTTTATTTGTTCATGCGCATCACTGGCAAGTTCAGCATTTATTGCCTATCTCTAAATGCCCTGGAGATGATGGTGACGGACTGCTTTCTTGAACTCTTGCAGTCCTCGGGTTCTGCTATACCCATGGTGCTGTTCAGAAAGAAATTCCAGGATTTTGACCCAGTGACAATGAGGAATGATAATACAGTTCGAAGTCAGGATGGTGTGCCACTTTGATGGGAACTTGTAGGTATTGATGCTCCCATGTATCTGCTGGCCTTGCCCTATTAGCAGTAGACATTTGCAGGTTTGAAGGCCTGTTGAAAGAACCTTGCTGAGTTACTGCAGTATTTTTTTATTTCAAAAATATACTTTAATCATAAAAAAATCTATAAGTTCATGCAAAGGTTTTAAGTCAGTTCTGTACAGTCTTTGAAGAGAGAAACAAAACAAAACATTGGAATTTTGACATTTGTCGGAGCTTCTCGACAGTTGCAAAAACAAAGGCATTTACTACTTATGCAGGAACCTATTTATATTCATTTTAAGACAATAAAGGCATCAGGCAACCAAACGGACCCTTGTTACACTTTGTCAAAAACCTCAGAAGGCGGCCTTTCCCCACTGCACCTTGGTGGCAGCTGCCCCAAGCAGCGTCCCTTAGCACATAGTCCTAGACGTTGGCATGTGCCAGTCTGCTGGGTTATTGTAGGGCATTTTGTAGGCATTACTGTATGTTGGTGGTAAATGTTGGTTAGGTCACAACTGGAGTACTGTGTGTAGTTTGGGTCACCACTTTACAGGAGGGATGTCATTGCACTACAGAATTACCAGGATGCTGCCTCAGTTGGAGAATCAGAGATATGACAAAAGATTGGATAGGGTGGAGTTGTTTTCCTTCGAACAGTAAGAGTTGAGAAGGATTATGAGAAACATAGATAAAGTGATTAGGTAGGGATTATTTTCCATTCATGTAGGGTCAATAATTAGGTGTGTAGATTTAAGGTTAGAGATAGAAGACAAAGAGGAGATTTGGGCAGAACTTTTTAATCACTCAGAGACTGGTGGGAATGTGGAACTCATTGCCTGATATAGGGTTGAGTCAAAAATCTACGCAGCATTTAAGCAGTATTTAGATACTCAGTTACATTGCCATACCCTCCAGGCTATGGGCAATTAGCTGGATAACAGGGTTAGTGCAGTCAGATCTTTGTTGACTGGCATGAACACCATGGTCTGAATGTAAATGTCTATACGTCTACGAAAAGGGAGAGAAGGAATTGGGTTCCAATCAAGGAGACTGCTTTGACTTGGAAGGTGGTGAGCTTTTTGAATGTTGGAGCTGCACTCATCCAGGCAAGTGCAGACTTTTCCATCACACTGGGATTAGAGAAGTGAGCAGTGAAGGGTTAAAACATGGGCAGGTGACAAAGACCAAGCACCAAGTGTGGCTGCTGGTCCCAAAGTAAATGTTGAACCACATATTATGTCAAAGAGAATGAATGTGGAATGTGTGTGTGCTATTGTCACAATGTGTGAATTGTTATTTCAAATTGACCTTATGTTGGAAGGCTCACCATAAAAAATATATTGTTTGCGTTTCCTATAGGGAGGATATTGTGAAACATGAAAGGGTTCAGAAAAGATTTACAAGGATGTTGCCAGGGTTGGAAGGTTTGAGATATAGCAAGAGGCTGAATAGGCTGGGGGTATTTTCCCTGAAGCGTTGGAGGCGGAGGGGTGACCTTATAGAGGTTTACAAAATCATAAGGGGCATAGATAGGCTATATAGGTAAGGTCTTTTCCCTGGGGTGGGGGAGTCCAAAACTAGAGAACATAGGTGAGAGGGGAAAGATATAAAAGGGACCTAAGGGGCAACTTTTTTCACACAGAGGGTGGTGCATGTACGGAATGAGCTGCCAGAGGAAGGAGAAGTTGGTACGGTTACAACATTTAAAAGGCATCTGGATATATGAATAGGAAGGGTTTAAGAGTGATTTGGGCCAAATCCTGGCAAATGGGACTAGATTTATACAGGATATCCAGTCAGCATGGACGAATTGGACCAAAGGGTCTGTTTCCGTGCTGTACATCTCTATGACTCAATGGCTTGTTCTTTGTGATGTGGAGGTATTACAATAATGGTAATTATGGCCTTTTCAGTTTTAGCATCCATTATCTGATTGTTTTACTCGAGACCTTTCTCTGAGTAAATGCTTTTTGAAAAGGAAGAAGCATGAACTGAATCAATGCCAGTGGTCACCTGATCAAATTTTGACAAGATTCTTGAGACCCAAGTAGAATAAACAAAGTTTTCTCCACTGGAACTACCATTTTCATCAAAAGGAATTGAACCAGGCAACTGAGTCAGTGTCAAGAAATTAACATCTCCTGTTTTAATTCTCCCATGTATAATGATTTGACATATTGAGAGATGAAAAGCTTGACTGCCAGTTTACCAGTTTGTAAAGCAAATTGCTAGCTAGACTCTGTTATGCACACTGAATTGTAATTTAACAGCTGCTTTTGACTAGAGAGAAAAGGAGAAATGAATTTCTAATAACAGCATGCTTCGTGGAGTGCCACGCTTCCAGGAATTCTCGTGCTTGTCTCTGCCTAGCCTGTCCCAGGATCTTGGTGTTGTCCCAGTTGACGAAGCATGCTATTAATAAACACATTGAACTCGACCCCATATACATTCCACTATGAAGGAAAACCGGAAGTGAGGCAATCCATCTCAACGGAACCCAGAGTTTAAAAACCAGGCTGGAAACTGATGCTTCATCGGAGGCTGCACTGAGGATGTTACCAAGCATGGTAACGAAACGTCTGCAAAACAACAAACCAGCTCAGCGAGCCAATGAACCTCAATTCTGCATTGAGATCATTATATAATAAGATATAAATCAGAGGCAGCATATCGATTTTACAAAAGGAACAGTTTAATGAACACATTAATCAGAAAGTAATTATCTAGTTATGTATAAATGATTTATTTGGATGGCAGCTGATTTCCAGACGTTGACAGTTCTAATTTCTCTTGGTACTGTCGTTCGGACCGTTTTCTTCTGTACACATCATCTAGAAAGACAGTAAAATCAATGAATTCAGAGAAAGAAGCAAAGTTAAAGTTTTGGTCTCTTTATTTAAGAAAACCTAAATACTATGGAGGCAGATCAGAGGACATTTACTAGATGGATATCTAGAAATGAGTGGGTTGTAATATAAGGATAAATTGGACAGGCTGGGCTAGTTTCCACTGGAATTTAGAAGAGTGAGGGGTAACTTGATTGAATGCATAAAATCCTGAATGGTCAAACAAGGTGGATGTGAAAAGGATATTTCCTCTTGCAGTTAAGTCCAGAAGTAGGGGATGTGAGGTTAAAATTAGGGGCTGCCTTTTTGAAACAGAAATGAGGAGAATCTTTTTCTCTCACTGGGTTGTGTGACTTTGAAACTCTCTGCCTCAGAAGGCAGTAGAAGAGGGGTCATCGAATATTGTTAAGGCAGAGGTAGATAGATTCCCATGCCTAGCAAGAATCTAAGATTATTGGAGGTAGATGGGAATGTGTCCTCTTCAACACAAACAGATCAGCCATGATCCTATTGAATGGCAGAGCAGGCTTGAAGGGCCAAATGGCCTGCTTCTGCTTGTACTTTGTACGTATGGTCACAAAAATGAATAAAAACCACAGGTCATTGCCATTTCATGTGGATGTAGTCAGCTAGAAAGGAGACTTTTAACCCAATAATCCATCCCAACTCCAAACACAGGATGTCGGGTGAAGTGAGTTGTACTATGTTGGGTGTTTGCTTGTCTTGGACAAACGTTCATAGCTTAAAATATTCATAATTAATCAGTTATGATAGTGATGTGGAGACAAAATTAAAGAAAGGAAACCATCAGCAATGAACAAAATAATAGCATTAAACAGTGTAAAATCCCCAAGAGTTTAAAGCGTTTACAAATATTAGATGTGTTCAAGAAAATATAAACTCCTGAAGCTTCGATGGTGCAAGAATTGTTCGAGGTAATAATCTGGGACAAAATTAACAGTTACTACTTGGACAGATATGGATTCATTCAGGAAAGTCAGCAAGGATAGTTAAATTTCTGGACTTGAATTTGTGAAGGCAAAAATTGGGAACAGGAGATAAGTCATGGTAAATGTAATTATACATACACAAATGCATAATGTTAATAATGGGGTAAAAAAGCTTGGGAGTAGATATTTAATGTTGTAAAACGGTTAATGCTGAAGACAGCATCAAGCACATATGATGGTGTCACATGGACTTCAGGCAGGGAACAGCTTTGGAGACATTAATGTCTCCCTCACAGTCTCAATAACTACGTCTTATATATCAGGACTTGTATCTAGTTGCTCTCATGCATTAAGCTACACCTTGTTTACCACAAGAGCTCTTTCTCATTAGATTATCAGGTGCTTTCCTCTGCTACCAGGATTTCAGATTTTAGAACAACAAGAGCAAAATTAAAACAGAGATGAGGAGAAATTTCTTCTCTGAAAGTGTTGCGAATCTGTAGAATTCACTACCCCAGAATTTGGTGGATGCTAGGACATTGAGTAAATTTGAGGAGGAGATAGACAGATGTTTAGCTAGTTGAAGGGTTATACAACACGGGCAGGAAAGTGGAAGCTGAAATGAGATCAGCCATGATCTAATGGTGGAGCAGGCTCAAGGGCTGAATTGCTCCTGTTCCAAGTTCTTGTGTTATTATGAAAGCGGATGTAAGCAGCAACTCCAAATGGATTTTACACCATCATGAGATGTGTTGAGAAACTATTCCCCAATCAACTGCTGTGGTTCAAGAAGGCAGGTCTCAAGATTAATTAGAGATGGGTAATAAGAGCTGGCCTAGCCAGCAATGCCCATTTCCCAAGAGCATATAGATGTTAAATAAGAAAGTGGAAAGCTAAAAACAGTGGTAAACCATGAAGACTTGGAGCCCACATACAGAGATCATTAAAAGGTCTCACAAAAAAAAAAGATCTGGGTACAGAAAACCAAAGCCAAAACGCTGATGGAATGTTGGCTTTTACATCTAAAGGACCAGAGTATAACGGGTGGAAGTCATACTTCAGTTGTACAAATCCTTGATCTGGCCACACTAGGAAGAGGGAACTAGTTCCATCAATTAGGGAAATTAGGACTGGGGTACAATATAAAAACCAAAGTCAGATCTGTCAGGAATTAAATTAGAAAACACTTGTACAATGTAGAATTCTCTTTCATAATAGCAAATGAATAAATCAAACCAATTTTAAATCTACAATTAATATATTTTAAATAGAGCTTTGGTATTAAGGGATATGAAGCAAAACTTAGTAAATGAGGTTGGATTGCAGTTCAGCCATGATCATATTGAATGGTGGAGCAAGCTCAAAGCGTTGAAAGGGCATCTCATCTTCCTGTGTTCTAATTTTAGTGTGAATAGTAATTTCAAAGTTAATAGAGATCAGATCAGAATTTAATTGCAAGGTGAACTATTGCAGATATGTCTGGCTATGGTACTGGATTAAAATGTAATCCATGGAAGCTTGATTCATGAGATGTGGTATATTTCATCAAGTCAAAGCTCATCACCACCATAGGATGGTAGCTACACAAATCAGACCAGAGGCCCACCTAGAATACAAGATGCACTAAAATTACTTTTTCAAGAAAACATTTGGCACACCTCAAAATATAGATGTAGTGTCACTGGTCTCCGAATTACAGCATGCTTTTTGTTTGAATTGCACAGCAACATTTCTATGCACCTACATTACCTCCATGTGGGTCAGTAACTAGAGGTCTTAAATTTAGAAACAATTGGACACAGAATTTCTACAGTACGGATAGAGGCTATTTGGCCCATTCGATCTGCACTAAGCCTCAGAACAGCATTCCACCCAGTCCTACATCACTCCCATCTCTATAATCCACCATGGCTAAATTCACATAACCTGCACATTTTTGGATTGTGGGAGGAAACTGGAACACCTGGCAAAACTCCACACAGACATGGGGAGAACATGGAAACTCCACGGACAGTTCCCCAAAGCTGGAATCAAACTTGGGTCCTTGGCGCTATGAGGTAACAGTGCTAACCACTGCGCTGCCCTGTGTCCTGGGCTGCTCTGTGTCCCATATTTTTGGGATAGTGACTTGAGCAATGGTGAGAGTCTCCTACTCTTGGGTTTCCGACTATTCTTGATTTTCAAGTTTGTGCACACTGCACTCAAACCTGGTGGGCCAGGTCAGTGATCACCCTCAACACCTTTCCCAAAACACAGTCTGGATAGCAGTCCCCTCACCCCTCCCCCAAAACATACTCACACATTCTGGTTGGCCAGCACCCCACATAGTCCTCCATGCCAAAATGTGCCTCATTTATTACCCAAAATGTTGGTTACCCAACAGGCAGGAAACAGAAATGAGGCCAAAATTAGTTCAAACATCATAAACAAAAACAAAATTGCTGGAGAAACTCAGCAGGTGTGTCAGTATCTACAGGGAGAAAGCCAAGTTAATTACTCAAGTCCAGTGGCAACTTAAGACCATAAGCCACCACCTCTCGTGGGATGCCATCAGCAGACACATATTCCCCTTCCCTCCCTTGTCAGCAATTTGCAGGCACTATTCGCTTTGGGACATCCTGGTCCACTCCTACACACACCCCCATGGCACCTTCCCATGTAAGTGCAGAAACTGCAACACTTGCCTGTTTACCTCCTAACTATCCAAGGCTCCAGATGCACCTTCCAAGTGGAGGTAAATCACTGCCTCACTTCACTCAATCTAATCTACTGTATTTGCTGCTCACAACGTAGTCTCAACATTGTGGAGATGAATTGCAGACTGGGTGGCTGCTTTGCAGAACATGTCTGTTAAAATGAGCCTGAGCTTTCAGGTGCCTGCCACTTCAACACCCTACCATGTTCCCTGATCAACATTTCCATCAAGGTGCTCCAGTGAGGCTCAACAAAAGCTGGAAGAACAACATCTCATTTTCTGCTTGGGGACCCTAGAACCTTCAGAAGTCAATACTGCTACCTCTCAAATATGGAGTTTGAGAAATTTTAGAACCGGAGCACCTCCTCTCATGTCCTTTACCCACCCCCAAACCCTGTCATAACACAGGGTGCTTTCAAATAGCCAACTCATTTGCACCTACCTATGGTGCCCATTAGCAGCTTTTTCTCTTTCTCTGGCTTACTATCCTTTGTCTCCCTAATAGTCTTTCTCTCTCTGTCATTGGGGTCCTATCCCTTCCAACCCACAGACTTCAACATAAATACTACCTTTTCCCAGCTACTATCAGTTCTGAAGAAGGGACACTGGACTAGAAACGTTAACTCTGCTTTCTCTGCACAGATGCTGCCAGACCTGCTGAATTTCTCCACAAATGTGTGTTTGTTTTAGATCTTTAGATCGGCAGTTCTTTGTTGTACTTAATAGCAGGTCAGGCTCCACAGGCTTAAAGGCCTAACCCAAGAGCTTATTGTTTTAATTACAAATAAACCAAAAGAAGTAGGGGTGGTTTATGACACCAATAGTCAGAAAGCCTCAGGAGTGGCAAGAGAAGAGATAAATTCTCAGGTTTAAAAAGACAAGTACTGTACAATCCAACTCGGGGGACGGATAAACAAATCAACATTAGGTTTTATCTTCACGGGCTGATTATCGCGAAGTGCTTTCCAGCCAATGAAGTACTTTTGCAATACAGTGGCAAACACGGAAGTCACTCAGTTTTATACTTACAAAATGTTTCGTGCCCAATGCGTACATTTATCATGATCCACTCCAGCACACCGCCCAAGACAAAGAAACAAGGCAAGAATCGATAGACCCCGAACTGTCGCTTCCCGGGGACTAAATCTAACAAACGCCGTAGTCGGGAGTTGAGCAGCATTGCTGAGCCCGGCCGGCTTCAGGTCTCCGGCAGAGGCTTGATCCGGATTCAGCGCAAGGTCCACGGGCTGCTGTGGGATTTGTCAGCAGGATGGGTGAAGCCGAGGCTTCCATACACCAAAGCAAACGTCCTTACGCTGTCCGCCTTTGCTCCCTCTGCCAGCGCATTACCCCTTTACGATCTTGACCTTTCACCGACTCACGGCACCAGTAAAGGACCAACCCTCTCGTCACCAGTGCTGACAACCTATCATTGCTCTCCATCAAAAAAAAAGGGACCGAGTTCAAGGCAACTTGGCCAGTATTGGTGTATTAAAGTTTCTCACTTCAGTGTTCTCCTTGGGATGACCTTCGAAATATGTACTTGCACCATCGTAATCTGTTTCCATTTCTGGAACGTCAACCAAATCAGTCTCTTCAATTCTGAGGAAGGGTCACCGGACCCGAACGTTAACTCTGTTTTCCCCTCCACAGATGCTGCCAGACGTGCCAGAGCTTTTCCAGCAACTTTGTTTTTGTTCCTGATTTACAGCATCCGCAGTTCTTTTGGTTTTTATTTAGTATTTAACTCACTGCCACATCTCTTCCAGGCATGCCCTCCTTGAAGAAGTTCTGCTCCTCTCTCCGACGGGATTTCCGTTCCAATCTCTCTTCTTGCCCACCGACTTTAATTTCACTGTCACTCCTGGTGTATGACCAGGTAGTTGCTAAAACTCGTTTCCACAGCCATATCACATTCCTCAGTGACTGCCTCTGGCTCAGGCTCACCCCACGTGGATTCCAACTGATGTTTCATCCCTCCTGTTTTGAATCCTCCCAGGATTACAGATATCTCCGTGATGTTCAACGTTCCATGGACAGCTGCTCTTGCCGCATCCTGAGATCCACACTCAGTGCCATGCGGCGCCACCCGCACACTCTCAACCTCTCTCTCCAACAGCATCGCAACGTGCTAGCTCAGGGCTGCAGCACTCCGCAGTTCCACTTCGTCCTCCGTCTCATTCGTCGTGCTAACAAGAAACTTTTTCTTTTCCTTTCAGGCATCAAGGCCCACAAGATGTTGAGTTCTGAGGAAGGGTCACCGGACCCGAAACGTTAACTTTGTTTTCTCCTCCACAGATGCTGCCAGACCTGCTGAGCTTTTCCAGCAACCTTGTTTTTGTTCCAGTCTGTTCATCTGCTGCTGAAAGTCTTCTCCATGTTTGTGTTCATTCTCAAATATTTCAACACACTCCTAACTCCATCACAGGTTTTACCCCCGTAAACGTGAGGTCAACCAAAATATTTCAGTCTGCCTTCTTGTGCCCCAGACCTGTTTACCTCTCAGCCATTGACTTGCTCTACCTTGTATCTGAGTAGCTTTAGAAATATGCACATGCATGTCATATTCCAGAGCTGTGAAAAACAATGGCAGAAACTCCAATTTTCTTTCCAACACATAACTGATCAGGAATCTCATCAGATGTTACCACTGTATGCATATTGAAGGGATTTACAGATTGATGCTCACCTTGTTTGACCCTGTTAAGAATAAACGATACATGCCATCAAGTCCTAAATTGGGACTTAAACCCAGAGCTTGGACAATTTCCAGTGCACCATAACAGCTCCATCTGCGGCCTACAAAGCCTTCAATTTCAGTATTTTCTATACCTCCACAGAGATACAACACTGTGGATGCTGGAAATCTGAATTGAAAATAGGAAATTCTGGAAACTTTCAGCACATCTGGCAGTATCTGTGGAAAAAAGAGTGATTGAATGGAACTTATTTTCCCAATCCCATTCACCATCTTCCTTGGGAATGGACAATAAGACATAGGGAAGATTTTAGAATCAATAGGGAAAGTGAGAGGTGTGTGCACTTTTCTGAACCCCTGTTTATGTCAGGAAAATTTGAGGTTGGTTTTGGACCTTGGTGTATCTCAGTAGTAAATGTTGTTCCTGCTGAAGAGAGCCCCATCTCTGCACTCAACGACACCAATCTCCCTCTTGCTGGTGCACCTTGGCTGGCTGACCCATTCAGCTGTGTTCCAGAGCCTTCACCACAGAAGTTGCTCTGGATCCTGCTGTAGTCCCAACCATGACAAGATTGCAACCAATATTTTAGCTAGAGAATAGGGCCACCACTACTATCATTAAATACAGCCTGTTTCTGGCCACTGTTTCATCAGTTCTGACACATTAACTTTGTTTCCCACCATTTTCTGTTTCCATTTCCACTTCATCATAGAGTCCCTACAGTGTGGAAACAGGCCCTTTGGCCCACCACGTCCACACCGACACACAGAGCATCCTACCTAGATCTATCCCCCTAATCTACACATCCCTGAATTTAGCATGGCCAGTCCACTAACCTGCACATTTTTGGACTGTGGGAGGAAACCAGAGCACCTGGAGAAAACCCATGCAGACACGGTGAGAATGTGCAAACTCCACACAGACAGTTGCCTGAGGGTGGAATCGAACCTGGGTCCCTGGTGCTGTGAGGCAGCAGTGCTAACCACTGAGCCACTGAGCCACCGTGCCGCCCCTTCCTCTTAACATTAATGACAGGGCCAAACTTGTCCTTCACCTCTATTCTACTAGCCTCTACTTTAATCACAGTTAACTGATTTCACAATGTTCAATATGATTTCATTTTGCATTTCCCTTGCCATTGAATTTCTCAACACATTGTTTGACATGCAATATCTTTGTTGACACTTCTGTTGCCATAATCTTACCTACTTCTTTCTATACGCTTTCAATACACTCATTGTTGATATTTTACCTAACTGTTCCTTTCTTTTCACATGATTGTTTGCAGCTCAAGAACTCTTTGGAAGTGATTTGATGTTCTTGTTTTAGCAGGACAAATGTGATATATAAAATACAGCAACTGCGAGAAACACTACATTGGATAGACGGGCAGGAAAGTCACCACCAGGATACATGAACACTAACTCGCAGCAAAACAGGATGACCAACTCTCCGTTGTTTCAATATACTCCAACATAAAAGAACAGCAATTTGACTGGGACAAAGTTACAGTACTAGGACCAGTGAGACAAAGACAAACACGAGAATTCCTAGAGGCCTGGTTTTCAACCACTGATACAATTAACAAACATGTTGAAATAGACCCCGTCTACATACCACTACGGTACAAAACCTGAAACAAGGCTGCCCACCATGACAGACCGGACCATATAAATTCAGAGCGGGACAGTGTTTCAACAGAGGCTACACAGCACTGACAAAGTCACCTAGAAGGGAGACAAAATATTTGCATAAAATCCAGTCAGCGTGGCGAACCAACCAACAACTTCATCAGCTACATTCGTGGTAAGGAATTCAAGCCTTTTCTTAAAATAATTGAAGATAAATGTTTCCATTCAAACTTTACTTTATCATCAGTAGACCTTTTGCCTTAAATTAATTGTCATGAAACAAATAGCTGTCATTGGATTTGCATCAATTACCCTCAAAATATTTTAGAAGAGAGTTAAAGGCTATTGACATTCATGTGTACAGTACTATTTTTGGGATTAGGCTGGCGAGGAAAGCATTGACACACAAACTACAACACTAAAGGTCACTGTTAATGTTAACTCTGTTTTTCTCTCAACAGAAGCTACCAGATCTGCTGAATTTCTCCAACGCTCTGTTTTCGTTACTATTTCCCTATCTATTTTTGCAGTTATCCACACGTTCATATTTATATTGTTGAAGAACCAATAAAGGGCCTGAATCTAGCACTTCCTAAGATGACAGTTTTCTTCAAATCAGAAAATAAAGAGAAAATGTTGAAGGTTCTAAGTTTGTCTCCTCCAAAATGCTGGGTGATACTGAAGTGTTATGCAGGTGCAACTGGTGGTAAACTGTCTAGACAGAACTTCTTACTGATAGTGAATTATTATATACAATTGTCATGATACATGTTACATCTGCAAACTGAAACATTTTTTTCCACAAGTAACAGAAGCTCCCATTCTGATCTCGGACATAAGGGACATGTAATTGCGTTACATTACACCATGGTCCTTCCCACTTTGGTTACAAAGTTGGGGGGGTGGGGAGGAACATCTTTGGTCTTGGTGACATCCCCACAACAATTTACAGTTTGAGCACTGTTCATTGCTTTAAGGTGAGATCTCCATCCCTGTCTCAGGCTGAAGTATCACTTAGAGAGCTGCTGTAATCAGACTGTAATCAACACAACTAGGAGAGTGGCCACTGCTGGGACTATGGACTTTCCCACAATGCTGAACAGTCCAGGTAATTCTGGGTCATAAGTAAATGAAAAATAGGAGCAGGGTATAGGTCATTCAGCTTATCAATCCTGCCCCACCATTCAAAATCGTGGATGACATACCCCAGGCCTGAACCCCTTTTTCGTTTCAGTTCCTCATAGCTATCGACTCCCCAGTATTTCAAAAATCTATCTAAACCCTCTTTGAAGTACTTTCCATGACCTAGCCTCTACAATATTCTGAGGTGGAGAATTCCAGGCATTCACTACTTCAGGGGAAGAAATTCCTTTTCATCTCTGTTTTAAATGAGTGTCCCCTTATTTTGTATTATTTCCCCTAGTTTGAGATACCCACTAGCAGAAATATCTTCTCAACATCTACCTTGTCAAGCCCCTTCAGAGTCTTGTATGGTTCAATTAGATCACCATACCTTTTTCCAAACTCTAATGAATAAAGCCCTAATTTATTTAGCTGTTCTTGATAAGTCAACGCTTTCATCCCAGAAATCAGGTTGGTGAATTTATTTTAAACTGCCTCCAATGTACTTCCTTTCTTAAATATAGAGGCCAAAATTGTACACAGCACTCTTAGGTATGGCCTCACCAAGACCCTGTACATTTGTAGCAAAATATCCCTATTTTTAAATTCCAGTTTCTTTGCAATAAAGCCCAAAATTCCATTTGCCCTCTTAATTGCTTGAAGCATCTGCAAGTTAACATTTTGTATTTTACACACAAGAACACCCAGATTCCTCTTTGTTGCACTTTTTTTAAAAAGAGTCTCTCTTCATTTAAATAAGAATCTGCCTTTTAATTCTTTCTACCAAAATACAAGACCTCACACTTTCCTTTATTAAACTCCATCTGTCAGGATTTTTTTCCCCACATTGCGTCAATCTATCCCTGCTGTGGGTGTTACCAGTGGACGTGGATTGAGGCCCTTAAGTAAAATTTAAGACAGGATGGGCAGTTAGGCAATAGGAAGATCACTTGCTAAGTTTTATCTGTCTTTATGGATCTCTCATCTTTCAATCTATCAGTGGACGAATGTAAAACTCTGCCCTTGGGAAAGGATCTTAAGACTCAAGGTGTAGGAACTGACCCACATCTATCCATTGAAGATTGATTCCCCTACGAACAAACAGTAGGAAATCTGGACTAACAATAGCACAGTATTGTAGTTTTTAAACATGATGGTGGGATTCATTTTACTTTCACTCAAAGCAGATTTGTTCTTGGGGTCACAACGTTTTCTGTCCAACATTTCAGAACATCATAATAGAAACACTCACAAATTTTATGTCATTATAAACAAATCAGATGTCTCAAATTTCATAATCTAAGGAAAAATTGAGTAACTTGTTCTTTGGAAATTTCATCACATTTCAAACAATTAAAGACAAGTTGCTCTACCAGTTGTTTTCAGATGGACTTCAAAAATAGAACATATAGTATATTTGAGGAGGGAAACCTGCTGCATAATAATACTTTTTCAGTTGTATATAAAGTTTAAGTTTCTTGCGAAGATTTGTAACTTGGGTTGTGGATGATGTTGTTGGCTTGCTCGCCGAGCTGGCTGGTTATCGTATAGACGTTTTGTCACCGTGCTAGGTAACATCATCATTGCAGCCTCCAATGAAGCAACGTTGTTCTACTCCGCTTGGTATTTATATGATCTGGTCTGTTAAGTTGGGTTTTGTCATTTCTGATTCTATTCTGCATGGGTTTGTATATGGGATCTAATTCCACATGTTTGTTGATAACAATCTGGGTTGAAAACCAGGCCTTTACGAATTCCCATGCGTGTCTGTGGTTGGCTGGAGCTAGGATGGCCACATTGTCCTAGTTAAATTGATGGCCTTCACTGTCCAAGTGGACTGAGATGAGGGAAAGTTCACTGTGTCGTTTTGCTGCTAGCTGGTGTTCACGTATCCTGACGGTTAGTTTCCTCCTGTCTGGCCAATGTAATGTTTGTTGAATCCAGTAATGTGGCAAGTGTTTCCTTGGCTCGTGCAGCAGAAACGCTGACTCCAAACAGCTCCATCAACAAGGACAACATACTCTGACTACTGGACCTACGCCTCACCACACACTTCATCTTTAACAGCCAAATATACAAATAAGTCAATGGGACACCTATGGGGTCACCCATCTCAGGGCATATTGTAGAGGCAGTTATGCAAAGACTGGAACACACTACCCTCCCCCTTATACAGCCAAAACAGTGGATCCGATACTTGGATGACACGTTTGTCATCATTAAATGCACCAAGTTAGAAGAGACACAATATCTCATCAACAACGGTTTCACTGGGATTAAATTTATGAGAGAAGAGGAAGATAACAATCACTTTCCGTTTCTAGACATCAGGGTAGAATGAATGACCAATGGGGAGTTCCAAATCACAGTACATAGAAAGGCGACCCACACTGACCAAATCCTCATTTTCCACAGCAATCACCCCAACGTCCACAAACAAACCTGTGTTAGGACACTATTCAAATGGGCCACAACTCACTACGACATGCCAGAACTATGCAGGAAGGAGGAAGATACAAGGTCTTTGCTAACAGTGGATATCCCAACAACTTCATTTGTGGGTGCCTACTAGATAGACAACGCCAAGGGGACACAGTACGCCCCAATACACTGGCCACACTGCCCTACATCAAGAACATATCAGAACTGACAATCAGACTCCTGTGACCACTAGGAATCTTGGTGGTACATAAACCTACAGCCACACTACGACAAACACTCATAAGGACCAAAGACCTCATATCCATGACATGCAAGACCAATGTAGTTTATCTTTCAATGACTGCAACAAACATTACATTGGCCAGATCGGAAGGAAACTAACCATCAGGATACATGAACACCAGCTAGCAGCAAAACGACACAATGAACGTTCCCTCATCTCAGTCCACTCAGACAATGAAGGCTATTAATTTAACTGGGACAATGTGGCATCCTAGGTCAAGCCAACCACAGACATGCATGAGAATTCCTAAAAGCCTGGTTTTCAACCCGTAATGTAATGAACAAACATGTGGAATTAGAACCTGTATATAAACACATGCAGAATAGAATCAGAAATGACAAAACCCAACTTAACAACCGGATCGTATAAATTCCAAGCGGAGTAGAACAACATCGCTTCATCAGAGGCTGCATTGATGATGTTACCTAGCATGGTGATGAAACGTCTGTACGATAACCAGCCAGCTGGGGAGCAAGCCAACAACCTTGTGCGTAAAGTATCCACTTTGCACTTAAATACCTTAATAGTTTTAGATTAATTTTTCCAATGTGTATCTCATCATGGGGTGTGCACCTAGAGTGTGGTCTTTTGGCTTCACTGTATAGAACTAACTATTTATGGTTCTTTTTTAGGGGGAATTACAGAAAACTTGGAACATATCAATGATATGATGAAATGATGTAAGCTTTATTTTTCATGGATAGTCACATGTGTGATGTGGGTAACTGACTATCAATGATGCAAATCAATATTCTCAAATTGCCCATGGACAAGCAATATTGTTTAATGGTTAATAAAAGAATGGAAAGCATTTGAATTGAGATCAAACTGTATGAGTTCAGTGCCTACTGAATAATATCTACAAGGTGTGATCACATCATTTATGGTTCGAAAAGACGTGCTAGCAATCCTTGGATGTACTTTTTTTTATTAATGAAAAATGTTCAAATTAGACTCATTTTAACACAAACGTACTGAGCAAGCATACTTATCCTCCCAAGTACCAGTGAAAAATTAAACTGAATTCTATCCAAGCGATAGAATCAGTGCAAAAATATAATAAGGTTTCCCATAAGACTATAGCAGAGTCCAACAATAGTAAATTGAAATGTCCAGTGACAGTGTATTTAAAAAGTCTTTATAAAAACAAATACAATTTGATCCTACAAGAAATGCAGTAAAATAAATTGTACTACCATTTCCCCATAGGTACTAAAACACAGTCACACTTTTCACATAAGTCTTGCATCATAACAAATGGTGGTAATGTAACAGCAATTCAGACATTATTCCAGACTGTATGCATGCCGAATATTTAGAGTGTCCCGGAGCATGATGTCACGTAATCGCCACAGTGCATCGACCATGGTCGTGTGAGCACCTTTACTCTTTAACCAGTGAGAGGGCAACCGGCTCTCTTGTTCTTTAGTAAGGTGGACATCTTGCCTTCTTGCTGTAAAGGAGCACAAGACACTGTGATATACGTATTAACCCTACAATTTTATCTCTGTTTCTCTCCATAGATACTGCTTGACATGCTGCATACTTCCAGTATTTTATGTTTTTATTTCATGTTCCCTCCTTTGCTATCCTGCAACTGGAAATTATTTACTTATGAAATGCATTAAAAATCCTCAGTTAGGAATAGTAACATATTTAAAAATCCAAATCTATAAAATGTGACTGAGTAGGGATTTCTTTTAGTTTACTAGCTATGAGCTTAAAGGTTGTCATTAGGTTTTTCTCGGTTAGGTTCGTCAGAATTTTGGAAAAGGAAGACGTTATGGCCCATATTTTATAAAGCTATTTCAGTGAATTTCTCAGGGATTAATTTAATCAATCTTAAAATAATTTTTAATGATTGAAACATCAGGGGTTTGTGAAGCAGGTGTGCTGATTTCTGTGTTCAATATGCTGATTCAATATCAAGATTGAGTGCTGCCTTGTTGAATTTATGTTTATATTTCAAGAAAGAGTTAAAGAAAACCTTTAAAAAGCACCAGTGAACAACCCTATTATTATTGTCAACAACACTACAGGAACAGGAGTAGGCCTTCGGTTTTCTTGAGTTTGCTTCCCCATCCAATGAGATCATAGTTGATCTGTTACTAAACTGAATATACCTACTTTCTGCCAAATTCCTTAATACCTTCTCTTAACGAAAATCTATCAATCTCAGTTTTAAAATGGTCAATTCATCTGGTATCAATTGCTGTTGGTTGAGTCCTAAAGATCTTCCACCGTCTGTGTGTAACTGTTTTGTAATTTTACTACAAAGCATTATTTGGTTCAAGCATGATTTTTGACTACTTGTACTCTATTTCTCTGGATATAAAAGCTGGTATTATTAGCCTCTTTAATGATCTATGTTTTTGGTCTCCCAACCAGCTTTTCAAACTTTAGCAAGTACACTGTTTTGTACTCTTTAGGTCCAAAGTAGATAATCTCATATTGCCTATATTGAAATTTGCTTGCTTCACTTTTTCCCATTTGGAGCTATGAAAATAATGGATACTTTAAAAAAAATATGTAATAGATACATTGTGAACCATGTTTATCACTCCATGTCAGCTGTTTGAACATCTGAAGTATTGTGTTTGTAAAAGCTGCATTAATTAATTACATTCATTGTGCAATTATTAATTACATGCATTGTATATTACCTGAAAGGGACTGGTCCCACTTGCTTACAGTATTACAGTCTGCACTGAGCCCCTCAATATATCTCAGGTAAGCTTCAGAGTGCAGTAACCGCTGAGTTTTTGGCGGAGGAGCCACAAACATTGGTGTTGATGGCTGCTGCTGGATAGTCTGTTGAGCTGTGACTTGTGTAGGATATGGAGGTGGAGCCTGCTGACCCTGAGCTCCAAGATTAGGATGAATACCAATCTAAAACAGTAATTATTGTCAACATTAAGATGTTGAACTACATTGTATTAAAATTACAATTCTCAGCTTTTACTGTAAAATGCGATCTACGTGTAATTCTTTTTAATTAAACAGGATTGATTTAATCATGCCTAGTATTAGAAAGTAATTATGTTCCATAAAGGCTAATCATATGTTGCAAAAGTACCCAATCAAATAATTTGTTTTACCTGCTGACCATATGGTGTTCCTGTTGTGGTCACAGTTGGTGATCCTCCCACCATGGTAGTCACACTCTGACCTATAACACCTGCAGTTTAAATGGGATAGTGAAAATTTACGTGAAACTTAGTTCAAACGCAACCAAAAGTTCACTATGCTCAGCTATAGTTTGATACTATTATCTGAAGACAAAAATAATTATTTTAAGTAAACTGTTGATTTTTAAAAAAAACTAAATTAACTTATCGAAAAGTTATTGAAATTAATCTTTATTTAATAATGACTTCTTTCCACAGAAGGAATGTGCAGAAGACATATAACCCCTCAAGCCTGCTCCTAAATAAATCATGACTGATTTCTAACAACTCCACTTTCCCATCCTAACCACATATTCCTTGAATTTCAAAAGTCCATCAATCTTTAATACACTCAACAACCAGCACCATTAGCATTCTAAGATACAGAATTCAAAAAGATAGATAATTTTCTCACTAAAGAAATTTCTCCTTGACTCAGTCCTAAAATTGTTGATCCCTCCTATTCTGAGACCATAACCACTAGTTCTAGATTCTCCTACCAGTTGAATTTTAACTAGATGGAGGAAAAAAATAAGTGGTAAAAATGTGTTGAGTAGTGTAAAGGTGTTGGTTTTAACACATCTTCAGCTGTTGAGTTTTCAATACTACCCTTGCTGGGAGACGCTAGGTGGTCCAGTAATTCTCCATGGGGACAAAACAATGTTACAGCTAACTTCCTAAGACTCTAGAAGCTGGTCTAAAGCAACACCTGTAAAAACCTAGGAGTAGGTTACCTGATCTTCCTTAAATACTGTGTAGCCCTGTTCAAAAACCAGTAAGGAAGTACAGATCTTAAACTGAAAGAACTGGACGCTGTAAATCAGAGACAAAAGTAAAAATTGCTGGAAAAGCTCAGCAAGTTTGGCAGCATCTGTGGAGAGAAATCAGAGTTAATGTTTCAGGTCAAGTTCTGAGGAAGGGTCACTTGACCCAAAATGTAAATTCTGATTTCTCTCCACAGATGCTGCCAGACCTTCTGAGCTTTCCAGCAATTTCCATTTTTGTCACAGACCTTAAACCCTGGTCAATGTGGAAATTTACAAAAAAGCATTGTTTATATCAGATTTAGTATGTATCTTCTTTCCATAGACTCTAATCTGAAGCTACTTCACCTACTTTAGAAATGTATGGAAAATGACAAGCAACTTAAACAATTTCCAAAATAAAAAGATAGCAATTCAAACAGAGTGTAACAATTAAATAATTCAAAACTTTGAGCCTCAAAATTTTTAAAAGTAAAGTTGCATTTTTAGTGCCAACTTTAATGCTATTCTGCTGAAAGTTCCTGCAATAGTCATCTTTACGATTACAGAATCAATAAGGACATCATCACTTGTCCTAGATGTTAAGTCAAATGACGGACTGATAGCAAATCAAATGTTCTTTCATATATTGGAAAGAACACATATGACAAAATATGCCTGGATCAATAATGGAGCCAGCTGACTAATTACTGAAAATACAGCAACTGTCATTAATAACTACATGGAAGAGTGCTCTGAAAGTGCTCCCACTGACTTAATCAGCAACTTGACAACTTTAACATCAAAACCCTGAGGTTTATTTTGCATGTTAAGTGGTAGAGCAAAATAATCAACTGAGTGTGCCAAGACCACTGAGTCCCACCTCTGCTGATAAAGCCATGCAAACATTATGGGATATTATAGGATATCTGAAAGGATTCAGTGTAGCTATCATGCTAAGAAGCTCGGTGGGTAGCACAATAGATAAAGACACATTCAAGGGACAAAGAATATGATAAATGCCTTGAGGGGCAGGGCATAGCTACAATACTTGATTAATACTTTCTTCCATTGTTTACAAAGGAGAATGCTAACAAAATATTGGTAGATGCAGAAATGATAGAAGGAAAAGACTGGATAAAAATTCACAGACAGTGTATAATAGAAAGGCTGGCATTGTTTACACCAGATAAGTCACTTGGTTTGATAGCCTGCATTCCAGATTGCTAAAGGAGGTGGGATTGGAAATAGTGAAGGACATGTTATCATCTTGCAATCTTCCCTGTGTGGGGTTGGTGCCAGAGAATGTCAAATGTGACCTCATTATTCAAGAAAGGATGCAAGGTAATTCTTTGAAACTATAAGAGACAACAAGGTGCAGAGCTGGATGAACACAGCAGGCCAAGCAGCATCATAGGAGCAGAAAGGCTGACGTTTCGGGCCTAGACCCTTCATCAGAAATGGGGAAGGGGAAGGGGGTTCTGAAATAAATAGGGAGAGATGGGGAGGCGGATAGAAGATGGATAGTGGAGAAGATAGGTGGAGAGGAAACAGACAGGTCGAAGAGGCGGGGATGGAGCCAGTAAAGGTGAGTGTAGGTGGGGAGTTAGGGAGGGGATAGGACAGTCCAGGGAGGACGGACAGGTCAAGGGGGCGGGATGAGATTGGTCGGTAGGAGATGGGGGTGCGGCTTGAGGTGGAGGAGGGGATAGGTGGGAGGAAGAACAGGTTAGGGAGGCGGGGACGAACTGGGCTGGTTTTGGGATGCGGTAGGGGGAGGGGAGATTTTGAAGCTTGTGAAATCCACATTGATACCATTGGGCTGCAGGGTTCCCAAGCGGAATATGAGTTGCTGTTCCTGCAACCTCTTTGAAACTATAGGTTGGTATGATTTTGTAAACAATAATCAGACAAAAGTGCCATTTGAACAGGTTTGCATTCAAAGAGATCCCACATGCATTTGTAAAGGGAGACTGGTATTGTTGCTGGACTAATAATCCAGAGACCGAAGTGATCTATGAAGACCTAGGTTCAAATTGTATTGGTTGTGTCTTTTTGTTGCTAGTTGATGTTCGCGTACTCTTGTGGCTAATTTTCTTCCTGTCTGTCCAATGTAATGTTTGTCGCAGTCTTTGCAGGGAATCTTGTATATGACATTGGTCCTGTTCATAGTGGGTAACGGATCTTTCGTTTGGGTTAGCAGTTGGTGTAGGGTTGATATGGGTTTGTATGCTACTCTGATGCCCAGTAGTCGTAGGAGTCTTGTGGTCAGTTCAGATGTGTTCTTGATATAAGGTAGCGTGATGAGTGTGTTGGGGCATGCAGTATCTTCCTGGTGTTGTTTGTGTAATAGCCATCTTCTGACCTAGTTGTTTGGGTATCCATTGTCCTTGGATACTTGGAGGAGGTACTCTTCTTCTTTTTGGTGTAGTTCTGTGTTGCTGCAGTGTGTTGGTGCCCATTTAAATAGTGTTTTCACATTTGTGGGTGTTAGGGTGGTTGCTATTGAAATTCAGTACTTGGTCAGTGCGTGTGACTTTCCTGTGTACCTTTGTTAGGAATTCCCCATTTGTCCTGCGTTCCACCATGATGTCCAGGAATGGGAACTGTTTGTTCTTTTCCTTGGTGAATTTGATCCCGGTGAGACTATTGTTTATTAGTTCGTGTGTCGCCTCGAGTTTGGTCCGTTTAATAATGACGAAGGTGTCGTCCACGTATCGTATCCATAGTTTCGGTTGGATTAGCGGAAGGGCCATGCTTTCGAGTCTCTGCATCACTGCTTCAGTTATTAATCTGGAGATAGGTAATCCCATGGGTGTCCCGTTGATCTGTTCATATATTTGGCCGTTAAAGGTAAAGTGGGTTGTGAGGCATAGGTCCAGTAACTTCAGCATGTTGTCCGTGGAGGTGGTGTCCCTCAGGTCTTGTTCTTGTTTTAGTAGTGTTGCCAGTGTTTCTCTTGCTAGTGGTATGTCTATCGATGTGAATAGGGCAATAGTGTCAAATGATACCATGGTCTCGTTGTCGTCTATTTTTATGTCCTTGATGGAACTGAGGAAGTCTTGGGCTGAGTGTGGTGACTTGCTAGTGAGGTGCTTTAGTCTCCATTGTAACTCCTTGGCTAATCAAGTGATGGCGTGCCTGGCAGGGAGACTATGGGTCTGAGGGGTACTTCCAGTTTGTGTACCTTCAGGACACCGTAGAATTGGGGGGTGGCGGGTGTTAGTTCCTTCTGGTTTCATTCTTAGGTAGTCATTACATTGGACAGACAGGAAAAAAATTAGCCACAAGAGTACACAAACATCAACTAGCAACAAAAAGACACGACCACTACTCACTCATCTCCATCCACATGGATAAGGAAAACCACCAGTTTGATTAGGACAACACCAGGATCCTGGGACAGGCCAAGCAGAGACAAGCACCGGAATTCCTAGAGGCCTGGTTCTCCACTAAGAAGGCCATCAACAAAAACATAGAGCTAGACCCTATATATACTCCAATGCTAAGGAAAACCGGAAGTGAGATAACCCAGCTCAACGGACACCAGAATTTAAATACAAGGTGGGAAAACACAACAGCGCTTCATCTGAGGCTACGCTCATGATGTTACCCAGCAGGGTAATGAAACGTCCGTGGAACATAGAACCAGCTCGGCTAGCCAACCAACCACAACTTGAGAAGATTGTTGAAGGGAATGCAATGTGTGTTGTTTCCACAGATTTTGAGATAGAATTTGGCAAATTACCACAAAAACTCTGGATAACAACACTGAAGTTCACGAGTAGGACAGTCACTGTCAGCATAAAAAGAAATTGCCCAAAGCCAGAAAACAATAAGTTACTGAAAATGATCATTTTTCAGACTGGAGGCTGGGTAAATTATTGTTTCCCAAAGGTCAGTGCCAGGGCCACTATTTAAAAAAATATATTATAAACTTATATATTTGAGGCCATGTAGTGCATGGAACCAAAAGTTCCATGTTTGAGTTTGTCGCAGGTGTTTCCAGTGGGTTTGTTCAGAATGAGGTGGCTTCCCATTGCTTTCTCTACAGCAATGCCTTGGCCAATTGGTGTTGACTTTCTAAACAATCAGCACCCTTTTTCCACATATTTTAAATTGGCAGGATTCTCTGAAAATTGACATTTGGTGACATTTTTCAGCAATAGCCATCTCTATCCATAGATCCAGATGACAATTTGCATATAAAAAATGCACATTAGTACAGTAACTTGGGGATTCCCTGAGTGAACTGTAACACACCATAT